ATGCTTTACCTTCTATGCTTCGTCCTTTCTCTACTGCCCCACAAACAACAACAACAACAAAAAAAAACCCAAATGTCTGCCCTGCAAAGAGAGACATTTATTTTAGCCTTTGATTTTCTTTCTTCCATGTAACTTTCACTTCGGTCAAGTTGGCTTGGTGGCAATAGGCAGAGTGGAAAACACTGGCCTTTTAATAGCTCTGTGACCTGGAACAAACCATTGCATCCTTCTTAAATGGAGATAATATTTATACTGCCTACCCTGTAGGATATCATAAAGAAAGTGACTTTGACTTCATAGACACTAAATAAATCTTAGCTACTACTACCATATTGTGCTTGTTTGAGCTGGTCCAGTGGACCTGGCTTCCAATCCTGGCTCTCTGTGGCACTGGATAAGTTACTCTTTGGACCTTGTTTTCCTCCTGTGTAAAATGAAGGGTCTGGACCAGGTCTTAGGTCCTTTCTAACTCAGAATTGATGGTCAATGGCCTAACACAGCTAGGATAGACTACAGAACTCAGGACATTTCAGATGTGAATTTCCTTTCGAATAAATCATTTGTAGGTAGGGCTTGTTGGAGCTTTGGCCACATTGCTGTGCTGAGTGGGTCTCTTGCACCACCTGCTGACTAGGACTTAGCATTGCTTATTTCTTGAGACTTCATTAGCCGTGCTGATTGAGAGAGAGCAAAGTCAGAGACATTCAGAAATGGAAAATAACTTATAATCATTTTTTGTTTCAGTCCATCAGCAAGCATTTGTTAAGTGAAAGGTTCTGTAAAAAGGAAGGAGAGTACGAACACAAAAGTAAAAAGTTCCTGCCTTTAAGGATTAAGGAGCTTTTCTTCTAATAGGAGAGATAATATGAATGTACAGAATATACACAAAATAAATACCAGGCAGTTTCAGGAAAGAAGGAGGACACTAGTAGCTGAGGGGATCAAGACAGGTTTCATGGAGAACATGAGGTTTGGATGATTCTGGAAGGAAGAATTCCAAGAGGTGAAAGTGAGAAGAAGGGAGGGTATTTCAATCATACTAGTCAATCAGTACAAAGGCACAGAGAATCATGAATAAAAAAAAAAAATAAGCAGGCCAGTGACTAGACCAAAGAACATGTAAAAGAGAGGAAGAAGCCTGGAAAAGTAAGAAGGAGCAGGCTTCTCGTAATCACTGGGTACCAGTCAGTGAAATTTATATTTGATCCTAGAAGTAATAGGAAGCCACTGGAGTTTAGGAAACCTAGTCAGATCTGTACCTTAGTAAACTCAAGTGAGTGGCTATGTGGAGCCTGGATTGGAGTAGGGAGTCAGTATTACAATAGTCCAGGTGAGGTGAGAGGTAATGAAGCCATTAAGTGGCAAAAGTTAGAGATGCTAGAGATGTCACAGGGATAGAAGCAACATTTTCCATGAGTAGATATGTGGGATAAGTAAGAATGAATAATCAAAGATGACTCCAAGGTTGTAAACCTGACTGACTAGAAGGATGGTAGTACCTTCAATAGAAATAGGGAAATTCAGAAGAGGAATGAGTCTGGGAGAGAAAATAGGAGTTCTGTTTTAGACATGTTGAGTTTAGGATGCCTACTGGACATCCATTTCAAAGTATCTAATAGAGAGTTGGTGATGTGGGATTAGAGCTCAGGAGAAAGAGTAGGGCTGGATATATAAATCTTGGAATAATTTGCATTGGGGCAATAATTGAACTCATGGGAGCTGAGGTCACCAAAAAGTACAGCAAGAAAAGGTCTAGAACTGAATCTTGGGTACACCCATAGTTAGGGAATGGGATAGGTATGATGGTCCAGCAGAATTAACTGAGAAGGAGAAGCCTGTCAGGAGGAAAATCAGAAGTGAAATGTGTCAGGAAAATCCAAAAAGAACAATAAATCCAAGAGGTAAAAGCAGTTAATAAGGTCAGATGCTGCAGAAATGTCTCAAAGGATGAGGTTTAAGAACAGGCCATTAAGTTCAGCAATTTAAAGACTAATGGGGAGAGCAATTTCTTTTGAATGATGAGGTCAGAGACCAAATTTCTGAGGATATAGAAGAAAGTGAGAGGCCACTCATGGTGTGGAACACCTATAATCCCTGCTACTGGGAAGGCTGAGGCTGGGGGATCTCAGGAGTTCTGAGTTGTGGTGAGGTAAGCCAATCTAGGTGTCCATACCAGGACAGAAATGGAATAGGTCAAAGCTCCCATGCTGAGATTGGGCTTGTGAATAGCCACTGCACTTCTGGGATGAGTGAGATAGAAAGGCCCAGTCTTTTAGAGGGAATGGAGGAAGTGAAAACATCACAAGTAATAGATTTTATTTTTTAAGGAATTTGACTGAAAAGGGGAAAAGAGAGTGAGGATATCTAATAGTCATTAGGATAGTAAGATCTTGTGAGGGTTTTTTTTTTTTGGTTTTGGTTTTTTGGGGTTTTGTTTTGTTTTTAGGCAATTGGGGTTAAGTGACTTGCCCAGGGTCACACAGCTAGTAAGTGTCAAATGTTTGCTCTGAGGCTGGATTTGAACTCGGGTCCTCCTGACTTCAGGGCAGGTTCTCTATCCACTTTGCCACCTAGCTGCCCCTGAGGATTTTTCAAGGATAGAGAAGACGGGTGTATTGGTAAACAGCAGGCAAGGAGCTAATAGAGAGACCCTGGAAGTCAGGTGGAGTATACACAATTTAGTGGAGAAGACTGGAGGGGAAGGGATCAAGGCTGAAGGTAGAGGGGTTGACCTTGAAGGGCCACCTCTTCATCAGAGACTGGAGTAAAGAAGCAATAGCAGGAGATGATATCAGGAGACTTTGAAAATAAAGAGGGAGAAGAGGGAGCTCCCAGTAAATGGCCTTGATTTACTCAGTTAAGTGGTGGAAAGTGTGGGAGGAGCAGTGGAGTGGATGACTTGAGAACAGAAGAAGAGGGTGAATTAGCTACGGTGGTGAAGAATGACAGAGCTGAGATTAGATAGAAGTGGAGGAAATCATGCTTCGTTTCATGACTTTCCTCCAGCTGAACTCAGTAGCCCTGTGAATTAGAGCGGCCCAGAGTTGGGTTTGGTAAGGCCTGAGCAGTGATAGGACAAGGAGCAAAGGCACCTACCTGAACTGGTTAACTTTAGAGTTGAGATTGGGAAAGAAGGAGCTGGTAGCCAGAACAGGGGTGATGCCATGGGAGGAAAGTACTAAGGGGGTGGAGAGATTGGAAGAGATAGTGAAGATAAAAAAATAGATTTAAGAGTAGTAAGGCTTAGGAAGAGGTGAATGATAAGAGATTATGATTGAATAAGGAAGTTTAGGGTTCTCAATCATGGAAGTGAAAACTTAGAGATGATGACAAGACCAAGGGTATGACAATCCCTGTGTATAGCTGAGGTAAAGTGGAGGATAGGTCAGGGGAATTGAGTAGATTGAGGAACTTGGAAGTTAGGCTGAATGAAGGAACACCATGTATGTTGAAGTCCTTAGTACCAGGGCAGGAGCTGGTATGGAGAGAGAGAATGTGACCCAGAATACATTGAGAAAATAGGGAGAAATGTCTGAAGGTCAATAGATAACTACAACCAGGATGTGGATTGGACCACAAACTTGTGAACCTCAAAAAAAGGTTGCTGCAACAGGGAGAAGAAATATTCTGACTCTTCTTTCTGGGATCAGTGAGTTGGGGAAAGGCAGAAGGTGGTAGTGTGAGAGATGTGGCCAATACTGGGAAAGGATGGCCAATTATGCAGTGTAGGAGTGAGGGATGTAAAGAGCCAAACAGGTGAGTGGATGGTAGGAAATGGAAGAAGCATGACAGAAAGAAGTCTAAATTGAAGGCAAGTTTGTTTATTCTAAAGCAGGAATTGCAGAGGTAGATACGGGGTGGGACATTTTGGATACAGGACTCAGGGGGATAGGAACAAGAGATGGGTTTTCCATGCTTTCAGTCTTCCCCCGAACCCTTGAGCTAGCTAGTAGAAATGTTGTTATCTCCGTTTTACAAGTCAAGAATTCAAGACCTAGAAAAGTAGAGTGATTTGCCTAAGGTCATCAAGATAGTGGTATATCTACAGTTTGAATCTAGATCTGCTGACCCTAAGTCAGTGTTCTTTCTGCTGCACCAGACTGTCCATCAGGTGTGGCCAACTAACGAACTGTACTTTTCTAGACAGTGGATAGGTCTCCAGCACGTGAGGTGGACCCCCTGTGGTGGCTTTATGGCAGGAAATGGACAGGACTTATATAGGATGGACAGACATGGATAGGTTGAGATCTGCATTGAAGAGAGTGAGATCAGAGATGCATTAGAATATTGGGTTAATCTTACTGCTGTGCTTAACCTAATGTTAAATTAACCGTATTCCTCAGATTTACATTGGTTAGGTGGTAAAGGAACACAGTCTGCTGAGCAAAGGTGAGGAATGCAGCCAGGATTTGCTATAGATAGCCATTGCAAGTGGATAATGCATATGTGAGTAATTGAGTGTTAGTTATACATCTTCCGAGGATATTGGCAGTGGGAGAGGGGATTTGAGGGAAAATAAAGCTTAATCATCAGAGTTTGTGGTTTTTCCAGGGGCTTTTAGCCTGATGGTGAATGGGAACTCCACTTTGGGTAAATCAACTAATGGGCTGGGAAATCTGACCCTTCTCTATTGGGGAGGGATGGTTGTACCTGAAACACTTTGGTTTTGGGTCCCAATTACTGCCATTTCTTTGGTCTTCTTCAGTTTAACTTTGTGGATGGCTTCAGTGTATTAGGTGCCAGAAGCCACAGCTCTAGGGTAAAGTAGCAGAATGCCTGAGCTCCTGCCCTGGCTTCATTTTCTGGAATTAGGAGGAAATTCTCTGTACCTCATTCCCTTGCACAAGCACCTTGGAGCTTCTCTGCCCACCGAATGAAGTTGGCTGGGGGAATAAATAAGAACAAGAGACTCTGCCATTATGGGCATCCCATAGGAATGGGAGGAGTAGTATCCAGATACATGCCCTGCAGCTCACACCTTGTCACTATCTCTGTTCTAGGTCTGGTTTCCAAGTCCTCTCCCAAGAAGCCTCGTGGACGTAACATCTTCAAGGCACTTTTCTGTTGCTTCCGTGCCCAACATGTTGGCCAGTCAGGCTGCAACAATGAGCTCGCCTCATACAAGGAGGAAACCAACACCATTGCCAAGGTAATAGGGATGCCCTGAGAAGTGGGGGTGGGACTGTAGAGGAAAGCCTTGACCCACATATGTCCCTCATTGACTACCCCAGTAGAAATTAGGGGTCTCTCCCTTCTGGTAGTCACCTCTGTCAGGCCAACTGCAATGCTCAAAACACTTCTTCTAGCCCACACCCATATTCTCTTTCTCAAAAAATCAATCCCCAAGTCTGCTTCCTTTTAAGGAAGGCCTTCCATGATTAACCTTACCAACCTCAATTCTCTCCTTTACTGTATTGAATTCTCCTTAGCATTTAATGGACTTAGCTTATACTACATTAATCTGCATTTCTATATAGTAGACTTTGCAGCATTAACTCTTTTTTTTTTCCCATCAGCTGGATTATACAATCCAAAGAGAAGGAGAATATGTCCTCTATCTTTATGGATATCTTTACGGCCAGATCTAGCCAATTTAGAGCGGCAACTTTTATACCTCTTCGTAGCCTTTAGGTTTTTTAGACTTGGTTATGGTTGTCTTAAGAATTTGAGTTTATGCTTCAGATATTTGGGGACCATCTTGCTGGAAAAAAACAGCATTTAGAAATCAAATTAAAAAAAATCATATTCCCCTAAAAAGACTGTTGTTCAAGGTTTCCAGGGATATCCACATAAGTTTGGGTGGGCCATCAAGACCCTTAATGCACCAATCCCGGTCACAATAAAGTTTTAATAAAATAGGTATTAAAAAAACCAACTATTGTTCCAGTTATCATATAACTGGAAGGTATGTGATACATATGCTTACATGGAGGCCCTTGAGTTCGGGGGCAAAGCATGAAACCAGAATTCCAGTATTTTGAATGAGCTCAGACTCTGAGTCTGCCCCTTACACACATTATGTCCTGGGCCGGTCCCTTAATCTAGCTCTGTTCCTTAGTATCTTTTTTTAAAAATAGAGGGAGCTGAGAATTCACAGGCCAGTCCCAGGAAATGTAAGAATGGAAACACAATTTTATTTAGGCCCCAAAGCCCCCTTTCCTTCTTTTGTGCTGCCCATGTCTCCAAAGGTCTTTTTTGCATAACTGGTGTGGCTTTAACTGTAGGGAGCCATTTTACACTGCTCTGGAGAAGAAAATATAATAGTGCTTCTCATTTCCACCAGGTGATTGCAATATGCAGGGGGAGTGTTTTTTAGGTCTGGTGTCTGAAACAGAAGATGCAGAGAACACTGGAAGGGGAAAACAGGAGCTTCTTTCACTGATACGTTTCCCTTTCTCTTTCTAGTCGGATCTCCTCCAGTGTCTTCAGTACCAGTTTTACCAGGTATTTAAATTCTAGCAGTGCCATTCTGAGTCCGGCCTTGGGACAAACAAGTGCCCAGGCCAACTTCTTGCCTTCTGGAGAGCTTTATAGGAAAGCTAGAAAATCCCTAACGTCAGCTTTGGGGGATTGAAGCTCTTGTCTCTGTTGGACAGTGGGCACACTGTGGGGGTGAGGGAAAGAGTAAAGAATGCTTCCTTCTCAGACCCTCTAACTCTAAGAATATAGGGAGCAAAGTATTTTTACTGATGCCACAAACTTTTCCATCTTGAAATTGATGACCCTGCCCCGTATGTCAAACTGGCAATTCATCCTATGGACAATTCTTTTTCCCGGGGAGAAGTTGTCAGGTTTCTCCCCGATAGATCACGTCTCTGGGGAGGTTAGGAAACTAGGAAATCTGCTCTGCTTAGAGTTTTCATGCATGACGAGCTCAGGGAATAAAGACTTTTTTCTTCTTTATCCAGCACACTCCTTGACTGCTTTCTCTTATCAGGGTTCCTTTTCTAGGTGAATCCTAGAGTCTGTTTTCTAGCTCAGCCAAACTTTTCATATCCCTGGGCAGGCTGTGGCAGTGCTTCTGTCCTTTGCAGTTTTCCTGTGGGGAACCTAGTTTTCTCATTTGGAGAAGTCACAGCAGCTTGAGTTTTTATTTTCAGATTCCAGGAACATGCCTGCTCCCAGAGGTGACACAGCAAGACCAAGGAAGAATCTGTGTGGTCATTGACTTGGACGAGACCCTTGTGCATAGTTCCTTTAAGGTAATCTGACTGCTCAGGCCCCCTTGCTGTTCCAGCGTTCAGGCTGGGAGGTTCGTGTGGTTACTGAGACGAGGTGAGGATAGTGCAGGCAAAAGCTAGAAGAGACTAGAAGAGTGCCTTACACATGGTGGGTGATTAATAGATATTTGTTAGATAAGAAAGAGGGACAGACAGGCAGGAGGGAAATACCTTTTGGTATTTGGTATTTCGTACCTCAGCTTCACAAGCTCTGTGATTGCCGGATAAATGTCTGGATACCAGATTAGTTAGCTGTAACTCACCTTCCACTAAGCCAAACAGAACTTAATGCTGTTGTCACCCTAACTCAGGGTATAGGCAGCAGGTCTAAATAAGTTGAATAAAGTCCTCTTCTCTTTCCTTTCTCTTAGTTTGCCTGAGAATCTTTTTAATTTTACCTAAAATACTGGTGTTATGTGAACCCTGCAACATTGGGGGGGGGGATAGACGACACAGGTAGAAACGTCTGGCCGGGGATGAGCGTAGTGAATGTTGCATCTAATTAAGATATCCCCTGCTTAGTGATTCAGGGAAGAAAGAAAGAAAGAATCTTCCTTAGACTTCCAGGTGTTCAAACAACCTTCTGCTTTATGCCCAGGAAGAGAAAGCAGTGATGAAAACATGGGGGTGTGGGTGTGGTGTGGGCCTTATATTCCTAAACAAGTTTGTGAGATGCAGAGGTGTTTGATGTGGGGTTTGCAGCTCTCTAAGCCTGAGTGACCTTTTTAGCTTTTGTTCATCTTATCAATCAATAGTAGAGGAGAAGTCCTCCTTGCAATTTTTTATCAGTAAATCCAAGATGGAGCCAAGACTCAACTGAGAATGGGCTCCCCACTTTCTGGTATGTTGACCCCTTCTTTGACTTTTCTTCCTTCTAGCCAATCAACAATGCTGACTTTATAGTGCCTGTGGAGATTGAGGGGACAACTCACCAGGTAAACAAGACCCTACATGTTGATGGGTTTGTGGCCTGGGGCCAAAAGTCACTGTGGATCAGGTGTTAAGCAGCAGTATGATAGTGGGAGTAAACTAAAGATCAGCAGTTCATCAGGTTGGCTGCCTGCCCAGGGCAACAACCAGTCAGAAAGCCTTGGGAGGGTCAGGACAGATTTCGGGGTGGACACTGGTGTCCTTATGACCTGTTGAGAGTTCGAAGAAAACCATCCTCAGAGATGGTGATGAGGCTCTCCTGGTCACTGTCATGGCATGACAGGGCTTTTGTTAGCCATTTTACTATGATTGGCGCTGTGTAAGCACCTGTGCTTCCCCCTTTGGTCAGATGAGCACTCCTTGGTGGGGCCTAAAGAGACCTGAGTTTGGCCCTCAGGGCCCTCGAGCTAAGGACACAGAATACACTCGTGAAAAAGACTGGCCATGTACAAAAAACCATATAAAGGAGGACATACTACAAGGAATAGACAAGCTTAGAGTGATCTGATGTAAAGTTGAGCAGGGAGAGGTGATTACGGGATGGGTTCCTAGAGAAGAGCTTCCAGTGGGGTTTAAGGGTGGAAAGAGCAGGGTGTGATGCTTTGGCAAAGAAAGGAGGAGGCCGTCATGCTACTCTGACAAAATGGCATTTGTGGAATGAGCAAGCTACTTCTATAGGACGAGCATACTGGCTGCAGATTTCTGTTGCACAATAGCGAGAAAAGGCTGGTGAGGTGGTCCAGCCTTGGAAGGAAGGCTCTTGGGTCCAGTAGAATGCTGTGGAGTGACAGGATGAGACATTGTCTAGCTCCTCTGTTTATGTAAGATGAATTGCAGGAGGAGGAAAAGAAAAGCAGAGAGACCAGTTAAGACTTTGTAAGGTCTCACAGGTAATTATAATATACCGACAGCAAAAGTAAAAACATGTAAACTAAGATGTTCTCAGAAGCCACAGATAAATGTTTTAGGGGAGGGGGCAGCTCAGTGGTAGAGCACCAGCCAGGTGCTCAGGGGGACCTAAGTTCAAATCCAGCCTTAGACACTTGACACTTACTAGCTGTGTGACCCTGGGCAAGTCACTTAACCTTGATTGCCTCACCAAAAAGCAAAAAAAAAAAAAAAAAGAAGTTTTTGGGGTAGAGGATAAGTACATAATTGGAACAGCTGGAGAAAGAGATCCAGTAAGTGCTTGTAAAGGAAAGACTGGGAGCAAGGATGGTAAGCACAGGGGGCTTTTGCCCGTCAATTCAGCAGTGATTTTGGAGGAAGTGGAATTTGAGAGCAAGGCCACTTTTAGCCCACCACTGACTCCAACAGACTGGCCACCCAGAGCTGAAGAAAACAGGAAGATCCAGCAAAGGCTGTAGCCAGGTTCAAGTAATCCAGGATAGGCTGTGTCCAGCTGCTGGCCTATTCTTGATTACTTGTTTCTGGAGGCAGCTGACTGCACCCTACCAGAAGCAGACACTCCCAGGACACACCCCGAACCCTGCCCACCATGTTTCCATTTTCTACCTTGGGCCATGGAAATGGTCTTGGCCCCAAGCTGACAGACGGAACCTAGTGACAAAAGAAAAGTATAGGTGAGTGATGCTGACCAACCTGGCCATGGTCAGTAGGGCTGAAGTTTTCTGTTCATGGCAGCCCAGTTGCCAAGGACAAGTGAAGTCTGAGCACACATTGTTGTTCTTTGGAACAGGTTGGGGAAAGAGTCAGATGACTGGTTTTAAGCTTTAACTAAAACTTCGAAACCTTTGCAACTTTCCCCCTTCTCACAGTTCCCTCTGGTTTTTCCAGGTATATGTGCTTAAGAGGCCTTATGTGGATGAGTTCCTGAGGCGAATGGGGGAGTTGTTTGAGTGTGTCCTCTTCACTGCCAGCCTGGCCAAGGTATCTTGGGATAGAGTGGAGGGCAACAGGCAGAGAAAAGATCGGTGCCTCTGCTAGATAACCTGGGGTACACAGGAAAGGAAGGACGGAACCAAACATAGATTTCCTCTTTCTACACAGTATGCTGACCCTGTGACTGATCTCTTGGACCAGTGTGGTGTGTTCCGGGCCCGCCTCTTCCGGGAGTCTTGTGTGTTCCACCAGGGCTGCTATGTCAAGGACCTCAGCCGATTAGGGAGAGACCTAAGGAAAACCCTAATATTGGACAATTCTCCTGCCTCATACATCTTCCACCCAGAGAATGCAGTGAGTACACTTGAGTCTCAGTTCATTCCAGCCCCTGGCTGATAGTTGAGATGGAGGAGGAAGGTTAATAGGCTTACATTCTGTTTATTGTGTAGAGTAAGTTGAGTTGGAAAAAGGCAGTTAGTGCCAAGAGCCATTCATGAAGGTTTGTCTTCTAGAGCTTGTGGAATACCCGGGAAGGTTATTTTAGTCCCTTTTTTAACTTTCAGAGGTAACCTTTCCTAACTTAAGGAAGGCTAACAGGACTTAACCCACATTGAAAAGAAGGATGGGAGAAGTCCTGAAATCCAGTGAACTCTCCACCTGAAATCCAAGGGTGCTGGCCAGCTCTGTCCTGCTCATTCTGCTTGTTGTTCTTCTACAGGTGCCTGTGCAATCCTGGTTTGATGACATGGCAGACACGGAGCTGCTGAATCTGATCCCCATCTTTGAGGAGCTAAGTGGAGCAGAAGATGTTTATACCAGCCTTGGGCAGCTGAGGGCACCGTAGCCTTCTCAAGCTGGGCGGTGTCTAGGACTGCAGAGGACTGTGACACACTGTGCCTTCGCTATCAGCCAGGAAGGGATGGCGGAAACAGGAAGCAGGGAGAAACAATTGTAAAGTGAGTTAGGGCAGGTTAGATGACAATATGGGCAAACAGCAGACCAGTGACAACTAGTACCCCCTGCTCCGTGACCTGGGCGCTAGAGGGACACACTTGTGAGCATGTATACGTGTGTATGTGTATGACACCGACACGTTCTCTCCTTGACATGATGATTCAGGTGGGGGAAGAGTCAAACAATCAAGGGTCGAATGCCCCTGAGCCAGAGCTCATCTCCTGGAGAGTCAGTCCAAGAGCCATTGACCTCTCATGGGAACAAAGACCGTTCAGTGCTCTATTGCCAAACCTCGAGTCTTTCCTCATATGTAGGGCCTGTGCCAAGGAGGTGAGGATATGCTGCTTTCAGCATAATATGTAGGCAAACTGGCACCAGATCCAAATGCACACTATTCAGAAACTTTGCTCGGGACCCGTGGTGACCTTGGAAAAAAGATTGTTTCTAAAACATCCTAGGAGCCTATACCTTAGCCTCACAAACGTGGCCATGAGATGAGGGTCAGGTCCAAGGGGCCATCACTGCCACCTGCCAAGAGCTCCTTCCTGGCCTTCTCCCGCTAGCCTTTCCCTCAACTTCGCACCCCAGTTACATTTCTGAAACCATGGACAAGAGATCTCCCCTACCCTCAAAGGAGGACAGAGAATTGATTTCACTTGATGGGACTCTGTTTTAAAGTTCTCTTTCTAAAAATGGATTGTGGGGCTTGGTTTGTTGCTGAAAGAAGCTTGGGCTCTGGGCTGAAAGCTAGGGGATGAGGGAGTCAGAGGCTCAAGAGGAATTTTCATAGCCAGAATTTCTGTTACTCTGAGTCATGGATCAGATTACAGATCTTGAGAGAGGTCTAGAGAACGATTCTTTTCAGGGATCCTTCTTCAAAGGAACAGGAAGGAGCCGTTTTAATGCCATTGGAGCTCTTCCAGTTCCTCGAGCAGAATCCTTTCCCATTTCATCTTCCAAGCAGTTGACTTTGGGGAGGGAGGAATGGTGAGGCCTTTGCATGGGCAGCCCCACAGCACCTATGTCCTGTAGACAGGAAATAAACAAGAACCAACGATTGGTTCTCTTCATTGTGGTATACTGGCTTCCTGCAAATGCCTTAGTAACACAGAAAAGAAAGGAGACCCAAGGCATGCTCAGGTGTGAGCTTTCTAAATAAGTATGCACTTCAGAGTCAGCGTGATGTTAGGGGCTCTTTTTTTAAAAAGCATTCATTCTTATTAAGCCACATGTACAAAATGGAATCGTTTTCCAAGTTTGGAGAGCTCTGATGTATTGGGAAACACTTTTGGGGATTTCATAAGGCGAACCCCAAGTAAGCAGCACTATCTTGTAATCACATTCTGCTATAGCCTTGGCTTCTGCTGGAATGGGTGTGGTATGGAATCTAAAGGAAGATCACGTAAGAGGTAATTAGGAGCCAATTTCCTTACCTTTCCCTGAAGAAACTCCACACTGCTTCAGGTACAGTACGCTTAAAACTTAGGATTCTTCCTCACCATTCTCTTTGACTTTCAGATGCTTTCTTGGGGTGAGGAGAGCTTCAGGAAATAGCCAGTTGGATGAAAATCAAGGGGAGAGCAGTTTTTTTGTGTTTTGGTGTGCATTCTGGTTATAGTCTCTCTTTAACCTAATTTTTGGTGCCAATTCTGGTTCCCTCCATTGCTGTTTTGTGGTTTCTATCTTTTCTCCTTGGTTTTTATACCAAGATGGTGCCATGGAGCACATATCCAGGGACCTAAAAGCTTTGTAGATCTAGAACAAAATTTCCCGAGTCCATTTTTTTCTCTCTAGCTACTTCTCGGATGTGGCAGCATTTCCTCAGACTGGTTCTCTTGAATATAAATGGAGGGTAAGTCTGGGTGCTGACAGAAACCTGCAAACCAACAACCAAAAAAAAAAACCCCAATCATCAATCCCACATTTAATGCCAAATTCAATGGCCAATTATCACAGGAGAGTGGGGGGGGGGGGGGGGGAAATAGATTTTGAACTTAATCCTCCCTACCTCCAGGCCATTCATTATCTACTAGCTTCTCAAGGTTGAGTGAGCAGTAGTCAAAACATTCCTGACGTCTGGTCCAAGCCCACCTGCCTTTGCCATTAGGGGCTTTGAGACCTGGACCTCCTGAAACATAACATGAGCAATAATGAAAGACAACTGCTGAAAGACATTCCTAAGCCTCTATTCCGGGCCCCTTTGTGCCACCCTCTTGCTGCCCTGAGTCTGGTACTAAAGAAGGTAGGGGGAGGGGTAATGCTGACATTCCTATATATTGTCTCTACTGAGATGCCCTTTAAGTGACCTGTGACAAATATTGATATTTCCTGGCCCACTGGTACATATACTCACTGTATTTCATAGGAAGCCCTGTGTACTTGGCATCCCTGCACTACAGCCACTAGTTTTTACTCAGCTGTAAATATGTCATGCGCCCTGGCCCCTCTATCCAGTCTTCATGGTCTTCCAGCTAAAGCATGTTCCCTTAGAGAACTGTCACCTCATTCACCTCAACCAGATTTGAACAGGACCTTATGCTAACCCTGCCAGAAGTAGTTTGAAACAGTAGTTTGGGAAAGTTTGGCAGGGTTTTCAAACCCTGGTCCCAAGAGAAGTTATTACTGAAGTAATGGCAGGTTTACTCTTGGAATGAGCCAGGGCTAGGGGTAAAAGTGTACTCTTTCCCCTGTGGGTCCCAGTGGGTACACTCTTTACCCCCACCCCTACTTTAAAGAGGTCAAGAGTCCTTAAGCAAGTGGAGGGCTTCTCTCCAAAGGGTGGCCAGAGTTCTTTACCTCACTTGGCTATGAGCAGAGCTCAGCCAGGGTGCCCTGTTTAAACTAGGTCTCAGCTAAAGAGCTAATGCTTCATTAGAGAGATCTTCCTACACATAGATCAACCATTCCAGGAATACACCCTTCTGCCAAATTTCGTTCTTTATGTTGCCTCTTCAGTGACACAATAGTTGTCTCTGTTTGGGCTTCTCTTTAGAAAGAGCCTGATGTTCACATCCCTCTCATAGGGGGAAGCTTTAAACAAAGGGCCAGTTTGGGAAAGAGTCAGGGTTAAGCATCTCAACTCTGCACATTGTAGAGAGGATGCTCTTCAGAGGCCTGTGGATCCCAGGCTGGGGAGGCAAACAGAGCAATGTCCTGGACCTGAGGGAGTTTTGAGAATTGGACCATGAACTCGAGTGTTAAATTGTTGAACAGGGAAAGAAATATCCTTGGGTAAATTTGCCTTAAGAGTTGTCTGGGACTTTTAGCTCCCTCCTGCCTCCCAAAGATGTTGACTATTTTGTAAACTTGTAAATTTACCTTTACTGTTTTATATAAGAACCCAGAAACTTTGGATGTGCTAATCACGGAAAGTCTAAAAAAGTAGCCAGCCCCCTGGCCCTGCCCTGCCCCATTGCCTTCTTTCTTGGGAGCCCCTTGTGCCATATTAAAGATTTCTCCATGCCCAAGTCATGGGTAGAGCATCTCCCTCTGTATTGAACCAGTAAGGTTTGGGAAAATCGGGAGACTAGGTACCTCTGTACAATTCCCACTGCCTCCAGGGTGTCTGGGGAGAAAAAGGGGAACCCAGGGTGTTTGGCTTGTTTGTTACTGCAGAGTTTCTGGCTGTCATGGAGTTCACTCATGACTCAGTCTCCTCTGCAGAACGGGGCTTCACTCAAACCTGGATTCTACAGGGGGTGCTAGTTGGCCAGCTCCCTTCTCTAATGAATCCAGGCCTTTTTCCCTGTAGAGGACACACCTTTCTCTTCCAGCCTCAAAGGCAAGCTTTTCTACTTGGAAGGACCCTAGGTATGAGAGTTACTCTTTCTTGTGCTGCTTTTCCAGTTGAGGGAATGCTGGATTTGGAGGGTAGAGGGGGGATTGCACCCCCACATCACCTGTGCTATAGGATTGTGACTACCCTGGTTACAGATTAATGGTTTCTTGGAGAAATTTGTTTTATTCCAAAACTTGAAATGTTTGACGCCATTAAGTGTCTGTTTATATTTTTGGAATATTTGTATTACTTGCAATTAAATAATAAAAAGGTTTTTTTTTTAAAAAACCCAGCCAGGAATATGGCCTTGTGGTTGTGTACTCCAGCCAGCATGGGTGCGTGTTGTCGTGCAAGGCGCCGATTCCCAGACATGCTACATGCTCGCAGGACTCGAACCAACTGCCTGCAGCCTAGAAAACCCCCTCTGGTCTCAACATTGGGCTTCCCCGAGGGTTATATGAACGCTTCCTGTCCCCTGTCCCCTTCCCCCACCAGGCCATACGGAACTATTCCACCTGCGTCTCCTTGTTGAACATCAATCCCCGTTTTACTATTGACTTTCTGTGAGAGACTGAGGAGTGCAAAAGAACCCTGAGGTCCCATGCATTTCGAGCACTTCACCTCCCCATGAAAAGAGCTAAGCCATTCTGTTGAGACTGAGGGTAACCTCAAGGATGTTTTTTCAGGGGAAAAAACCTCTTTCCCAATAACTTCGTCTTCCTTCCAGGCTTCTCTTCCAGGTCTTAGGGCTGTGTCCCCCGATTTTATTCCTCACTGTGGTAGCAGTGTTCTGGCTCCAAGTTCCCAGGGTCCTATTCTCAGCAGAGCAAGTCCAGGATTTCCTGGTACTGTGTCTGTTATTTGTTTTGGCTTTCTATCTGTCATACAGTATCCATGAGCCTAATGTATCCCCATCTATAATATGGCTAATTTCATATCTGCTTTTCCACTCCACCCCACTTCCTGCATTATTGATGGGCTGTGCACTTTAGAAAATCAATTAGAATAGGGTGTGGAAACAGAGTTAAAAGAGAAAAGAGGCCTTTAAAAGTCTCCTGGTTTTTGCTATTTTGAATAGGCGCACATAAAGCCTTCTCTTCCTAAGTCCAGCCAGGGACCAGCCTGGCTGTGATTGGCCAGGACTGAGAAAATGTGGTTAAGGTGCAAATATAAGCAAATATGAGCCATTGTCAGGTCAGCTATCCTGAGCAAAGAGCAAGGATCTGGTACCATCCCTCTTCTGTTTCTCTGGATAAATTTGGTCCTTACAAGCTACCTGCCTCCGACTTACAGGGAGATTGAAGAGTCTAGTTTGGAGAAAGGACCAGGTAAGGTTGGTTTGGTTTATAGGTGAATATCGTTCTCGAATTCGGAGGGAACGATCCTGTACAAATCCTGGAAGATTTTAATTACTTTTCTTGGCTTTAGTTTTTAAAAGACTTTTGGGGGGGGGTAAAGAATAAACTTTATCAGATAGAGGTGGGTGGGGGGCAAGTTATGGTGAAGATGGGCAGGATTGAGAGGATTCCTTGGATCCTCCAGCTCTCTGTTGGAGAAAGATGGGGTGGGTGAAGTAATGGGAGGAGACATCCGTAATTCATTTTGAGGTGCAAAGGGTATTCCCTCCAGTTTAGGGCAGTGATTTCTAATGCTGCACTTGCAATCCCCTGGGTGTCTACAAATGGCCCAAACCAAAATGAAATCCAATTAAAAAATGATTATGTATGGACTAAACAACTTGAGTTAGGAAGGTGCCTGGTCATAGGGGTGGGTGGGGCAGGCAGAAATAATGGGCTTCAAGAATTCTGTATTTTAAATTGAATTGTATTTTTGATGCAGTTTCATCTTCAAGTTATTTCCTGCAGATGGGTGGAGGAGAGGGTTAGGGAGGAATCAGATGGATTAGCAATAGCAGTAGTAATTGGAGGTAGAAACTGCCAAATGCATGTGGCCAAAAGGAATAAATCAGGAGTTTGAAAATACTCCTTTCAAAAACCTTGACTCTGCTTTGACTTCAGAAACCAATATTCCTAATTAAACAATTCCAGTTAGTTTGGTTTTTATAAAGGCGACATTTTGGTGTCTCCCCACAGGGCTACAGGTTTTTTGGCCTGGGTCCCCGTCCCCAAAGCAGATTATACTGTAATCTGCCTTTAGCAACTGGGGGCTGAAGGTAAAAACGGTTAGTTTGGGGGCAGGACAGAACACCACCTTCTCTGGACCAATTATTTTTCCAACTCCTTCCCTAGGTTCCTTCTCTGGGACCACCGAGACTGTGACCTTTACATTTGCTATCTGAAAGGGAAGGATGGCTTCAAACAGAAATGGGATCTATTCTCAGTTGAATATATTGTACCTGCTTCATTTTTAATTTGTTGATGAATTGGTCCTGTTACTTTGTGAACTAGAAAAGTTGGGGATGAGAAAAATTAAGTTTCTTCAGTGCTTCCCTTCCTTGTCTGTCTCCCCAGTCTTTAAATTAATGTTGGAGGAAGGTAAGGGGCAGAGCACCAGAGGGGAGAGAAAATTCTCCATATCAACTAGATATAGGGCATTAGGTCCAGGGTAAATTCCTGCAAGGTGGGGCAGGGCAAGTTGCCCAGTGACTCCTTTGCTTCTGTCTGCTTTTCATCACCATCCATCCTCTGACCCAAAGCAAATAGATGAATGATAAAGAAAAAGATCCAATTAGATTTTCTCATGATAACCCTATCCCATCACCAATTGTAAAAACCTGTAACAATTCCTGTAGGGTTGCTTTTCCTTTAGTGTGTATCTGCATTTATTTATAAACTCCATCATCCTATTCCTTTACTGTTTGTAGGTGAGAAGGAATTTTCTCCTATTTCTGTCAAATATAACATGTTAGATTATAAGCCTAAATGCCAAATCCATATCTCTAAATTATGTAAAAATACAAGTTTAGATATAGGTGCTTAATTAAATATTAAATAAATGCATGTAACAAAGATACTATATGGCCTACAGGGACTTCCCTTCACCCAAGGGCCAAATAGCTAGCTGGAGCCAACTCTTCCCCAAAAAACATGATGGAGTCAGTCATCCCGGCCTCCTCAGCACCTCGTCCCTACCACCCAGGTGGATGGGGCTGAATTTACACCAAATTCAGGAGACTAGACCACACCCCCTGCTTGACTGTGCCTTGCACCTGGGGCCTTTTGTCCTTTGCCTAGCCCTGCTGCTCTGTTCCCTTTTCATTCATGGGGCACCAGGGAATCGTTGCAGTGACTCAGGCTTTTGTTTGGTTTTTTAAAAATGCAGTGAAAGGAGGAGTTGGAGAAATAATAACTGCCATTTATTTACACAGCATTGTATAGTTTACAAAGTGCCCTCTCTTCACAACCAACTCCTAACATAGGAAGTACAAGCATTATCATCCTTGTTTTACTGATGAGGAAACCTGGGCTTACACACTGACCCCACAGCCCCACTGCCACAATAGTAAGTGTTAGGGCAGCGGCCTGAAGACATCAGGAAACCTGTTCCACTGCACCCCACTGACTCTTAACAGAGGAGTAGGGAAGACAAGCAGTTCACGGCATGGCATGGAGCAAAGAACTGTTTTGAACTTAATTTCTGGATAGCATCTGAAACAATCTTTTTTTGGTGCCCCTGTTGAATTCAGACAAGACTTTAAAGGGAAAAGAGGTAAAAAACAGAACAGAAATGGAAGCCAAAATTCCTGAGTTCAACCTAAATCTGTAAACCAATTCATTGTGACACTTTGGACAAGTCGCTTCTTCAACAGAAACAACCATGGACTTCCAGTCAAAAGAGACCTCTGTTCAAATAACATTGTAAACACTTGGGAGCTGTGTAACCGTGGTCTATTCACTTAATTTTGTGAGCCTTAGTTTCCTCATCTGTAAAATAGGGATAATAATTCTTGTAGTGCCTATGTCACAGGATTGTCATTAAGGATTAAATGAGATAGTGTCCATTAAGTATTTTGTAAATATTAAATCATGACATAAATGTCATGCTGTTACTGTTTTCCTCATCTGCGAAAAGGTCAGGAATGTCCCACAAGGATATGGAAGGATAAACTGTGATTGGGAAGATACCAAGAATGTTTCAGAAGAAAAGTACTGCATAAATGCTCAGTGTTGGGATGTCTCATTATACCTTTTCCTCAGTTACATTTTAGTTTAGTCCTGAGAAGAACACCATGTCTCTGAGTGGCGCCTTCAGGGCAGTGGGCAATGACCCAGGAGTGATCACTTGGAGAATAGAGGTAAGCTGGGCTCCCATGGTCAAAAATACAAATTCTCAGCCTCTGTCCTATCTACCAATTCCCATAAGCCAAGGGGCCTGCCTGTGGCATGAAACCATCACTAGGCTCTCTTGAATGTTGGTATCAGGCAGAAACTTTGGTCTACTTTGGAAAGCTTCTTGACTTCTTATCTCTGGTTTGGAAGGGTAGTGAAAGACCGGAGTAACGTGAATGAACTGTGCTTGGCTATGCCTGACTGCCCCTGGCACCTAAAGGAAGTAGATAAAGGCCTATCTCACATGCTGAACAGCAGCAACTGAGACAGTAAGAATGATCTTTGGTCTACATTCAACTTGGAGAATGTATTTTTAATGAAGGCCCATAAGGCCTTCATACTCACCTTGTCATGGCAATAACAAGACTTCCCATAGTAGGCGTCCTTCACTAATTGAAATAGAGTGCCCCATTTCCTATCTGAGGAGTCAGGAGCCAACATTCTGTAAAAGATTCCCCAGCCCCCAGAGCCATGATGAAGGTGGGGCTTTAAGTGAAAGCGTTAACATCTGGGTAAGGGAAGGGGAAGCTCCTTGCTTAGGGAGGCAGGACACCTCCTCTCCCAAGCACTCCTGAGATTGTCATCCCCGTAACTTGCTCTTTAGAATTCCGCTTCCAACCCAGCCATGGTTGGGGGAATAGAAGAAGACTCCTTTCACACAACTGCAACAATGGTTGGGTCTCTTCCAGGATCTGCTTGCCTTTCCTCCAACCCCAACAGAGGCACTGGGTGGATCCCCACCGACTGAATTTGCCCCAGGTTGTAGGATCAGTTATCATTCTGCCCATTTTCTTTCCATCATCACTGAGAGAACATGAATCACAAAGCCTGGGGATTGTCATCTGACTGGGCTTTGGGGTTGGCCTGTAGCTGTCCCCTTTAATTTTGAGTTCCAAATAAGGCTAGCAATATGATATCAATTATACATAAGTCATGCAAAACATAGCTGTCCCCTTTTAGCAGAATCAGCTCATTCCCAAGGGACAAAACTTGAAGTGAAATTCCCAAATGCTAATCTCTTACCTTGTGGCTGGCAGGGGACTCCTGGTTATCCTGGTTTAGCAGCAACATAAGGGAGCTGTGCCTGTATGGCAAAATTGCTTGGGGGCTGCAGGGGACTAGCTCCTCTCTCTCCCCAAATCTGGACAAGTCTCAGCTCCAGGGACTGGCCTCAGGGCTGTGCTTCCCAGGCATAAGTAATGGCCACACTATGCTACAAAGAGATCAGGATCATTATTGTACCTACTCTTTTGTTGAGAGGCCGTGTGGCCTGTTGAATAGAGAGCCAGCCTTGGAGTCAGGAAGGTCAAGGTTGAAGCCTTTCCGCCGCCCCCACATGGGGCAAATTAACATGGGCAAATTACTTCACCTCTCAGGGCGCCAGACAACTCTTATCTGCAAGGGTGGAAAGAGTTTCCCTATCCGTTCCTTTACTAATGAAATCACAGGTCTGGATCAGAAGAGTACATCCCTGACAGGGCTGGGGTGGAGCGTTACCCTGGAATAGAGGAGGAATTGGCTAGGTCCGTACCCCTCGCCAACGTTCTGGGTACTTCTTGGGTTGGGAAAAGCAAAGATGGTAGAAAGACGAGCAGCCGGGTAGAAGGAATGCAGACTGGTATGTGCCCCTCACTCACTTTTTGTCCTTCCAGAAAATGGAACTAGTGCTGGTGCCACTGAGCCTTCATGGCAATTTCTACGAGGGAGACTGTTACGTGGTTCTCTCGGTGAGCAGACCCTCGTCCCTAATCCCCTAGCCTCACTCTCTTCCGCTGGTCATCTACTCTCAGGAGCCATGGAGACACCTGCTGGTGGTGGAGGGTAATGGCCCACAGGAACCCTGGGACAAGCCAATTATCTTCTGAGCATCTATATACAAATGCGTTTTGCAGTGTTGTGGGTTTACAAAGATCAAAGATAATATAGTTCCTACTCTCAAAGATCTCATAAAAGAAATAACACAAACAATAATAATACAAGGTATCATATGCTAAATTCATAAGAGCTTAAGGGAGATTCAAAAAGGATGAGACTACCTAACCTGGGGGACAGTGGGGCAGACAGAATATGAGAGGGCTTTCTGGAGAAGGTGTCATCTGCATGGAACCTCAAAGGAAGGGAGGGAATTCCACAGGCAGAGACCATTCCTGGCATGGAAGCCAACATGAGCAAAGACACTGGCAAGAAAGGACAGGATAAGATCAGAGAATGCTAAGTAGTCAAATTTGGCTCAGATGCAGACTGCAGAAGGGAAATAGGCTGAAGAGGTAATTTGGAGACAGATTGTGTAAGGTCTTGCATGCCAGGCTAAGGGGCATATATTCTGGTGGCTAAGCAATGAGGAGACACCAAAGCATTTCGAGCAGAGGAGGGCCAAACCTACATATTACATGTAGAATCTCACTGTAGCAGTCCTGTGAGAAGATGAATTAGCGAGGAGAATACCTAAAGACAGGAAAATCAGTTATGGAATTATTACAATAGCCTTCCAAGGACGTAATGAGGTCCTAAAGTAGAATGGTATCTGTGGGGATAGAAAGAAGGACAAAGGCTGTAGAAAAAATGGGCAAAACTTAGCAACTGATTCCAATGTGGAAGGTGAAGAAGAATTACAGAGCAGGCTATATGGAAGCAGGAAAAATTAAAGATCATCCTGAATTCTTCATCCTGAATGAAAGAATGGGAAAGTTATGGTGCCAGTGAAAGAGTGGGAAGTTAGGAGGAACACGTTTGGGGGGAGGCATGGGGAAGAGGAGGCAAGGGAGATTAACTCCATTTGAGGCTCAGGTAGGACAACCTGCTGGCAGTGTCCAGCTGGGAGTTAGAAATGCAGCACCGCAGCCCCAGGGAGTGGTCAGGGCCAGAGGTGATCCCTGAAGTCAGGAACGGAGGAAGTCAGCAAGGGAGAGAATGATCTATCACTCTAGAGCTCCCAGACTTTAGAAGTCCAAGGTGCATCCTCAAAATTGACCTTTCCTATTCAATTCAAAGGCTAAGGAATGGCAGAGCTGGAGTGGAGAATTAATCTCATTAGCCCAAGAAAGGTCCCTAGGTCTGGTGTTAGTCAACAATGATCTGGCCAACCACTGCTTACATAGTCCTTCCCCAGATACCCTGGAGGGATACAAAAGGTCCAGGTCCTAGCTTCAAAATGACTTCAATTGAAAAAGGACAGTACAAAAGCAGTTTTAAGCTTGATCTTCCCTGTATATGACTGTGAAGTTAACTGAAGAAAAAGGCCAACTAACACATAGGTGCAAGTTAATGGTGCAAATTGTGTACTTAAGTACTTGAGAATACCATAATGGAGAAATGAGATTTGGGAGTATCAACTCTAGTAAAAATATAGACTTCTAGAGAACAGAAACTAATCTTTGTATCCTCAGTTCCTAGCACAGTGCCTTACATATCATGTTTAACAAATACTTGTTGAATAAAATGGGGGGTGCTGTTAAAATTCTGAAGGTACATCCTTTATTTTGGCTTCTCTTTGTTGTCGATTTTCTCACTTATCTTGAGGGACAGCAAAATTTCTTTTTCCAAATGTAAGACTAGATTTGGGCCACCAGGATTTGAACAGAATAACTAGATGCATTATAGATTTCTACTGGGGTCAATTGACTCTTCTCAGGGACAGTAATCCAGCCCCCCACCCCACCCCACCCCCAATACGTCACAGTTCCGTCAAAGCAGAAAAATGAGCCATTCCCTAATTCCACAATCTTTTTGGGCATCTGTCAGACCCGGAGATCTGGAAGTCTCTTGTGCCAGGATATCCACTACTGGATTGGAAAGGATTCTACCCAGGATGAGCAGAGCTGTGCTGCCATCTATACGACTCAGTTAGACGACTATCTGGGTGGTAGCCCAGTGCAGCATCGGGAGGTTCAATATCATGAATCGGAGACTTTCCGAGGCTACTTCAAACAGGGGATCATGTGAGTAGAAATCTGAACTGGACTGTTCTTGGGCTCATCCTCTCCCTAACTGGGCATTTAATATGAACAAAGCACAGCACCGTGATGAAAACAATACAGTGTTTGGCAAAGGAAAGAGAGAGTAGAGAATCACAATGGCATTTTTAATAGAACTCATAATAGTTCCTTCCTTTTCCCAAGTGATAAAGCTCCTAGGGTATCCATTACAGCAATGATAACTGAAGAAAAGGCTGATTGGTTTTAAGTACTGATGGACTGGATAAAATGTGGAAGTTAGTCAAAGAAAGCTTTCTGGAGGAGGTGGGCCATGAGTGGGTGGGAAATTCATTCTTTTCCAGTAGAGCAGTGATGCCAGGAGGGATTTGAAGGAGGCCTGACATGACAGCCAGAGGAAAAGGCCTCAGATACTTACTAGCTGTGTGACCCTGGGCAAGTCTATTAACCCCAATTGCAAAAACAAAACAAAACAAAACAAAAGCACCACCTTTGTCTATCCCTCAGCTACAAGAAGGGAGGTGTGACCTCTGGGATGAAGCACGTGGAGACCAACACCTATGATGTGAAGCGTCTACTGCACGTGAAAGGGAAAAGGCATGTAACAGCTACTGAGGTAAGTTTTCCAGGAAGTCAACTCCCTGAGGGGCTTTATTAGCATCACGTAGCCAGGGGTTCTTAACCTGAGGTCTGTGAACTTGTTTTAAAAAAAATTTTTTTTTGATAACTGTGTTTCAATATAATTGGTTTCCTTGGTCATCCTTTGTATCTTGTTTTATTGATTTAAAAACATGGTTTTGAGAAGGGGGTCGATAAGCTTCACTAGACTGCTGAAGGGATCCAGGACACAAAAAAGGTTACAACTAAGCTGACTGGCTCCCATCCCTTCTGCTTATTCTAAGGAAGGTTGAGATCTGTTCACAATATTTTAACAGGACTACCCTGAGCAGTCTCTATCTCTAACCTGTAGGTAGACCTGAGCTGGGACAGTTTTAACCTGGGTGATGTCTTTCTGCTGGACCTTGGAAGAATCATCATCCAGTGGAATGGCCCAGAAAGCAACACTGGAGAACGGCTGAAGGTACTGTTGCTACTGCTCACCAGAGGTCTCTCTTTTCCTTAGAGTCCCCAGGGTGTAGCTTAGGGTCTTTCAGACATGGTTTCTGGCTTTCTCTGTAATTATTATTAGTATTGTTATGATTATTACTGTTACTTATTATTTCTACATGCAAGTCGTGTCTGTGATTTAAATTGGACCCCTACTTTTTTTTTTTTTTGGTGGGGTCTGGCCTGGAGACAGTAAATTCCACAACAGGTATTTATTAAACCTATCACGTGAAAGGCACTATGCTAGGCACTGGAACTACACAGGCGAAAACAAGAGTGCTGAGTGAAAGGAGCTTAACTGGAGGGGGTACGTGTTGTAAGATGTAGACAAGAAAAACCAAGCTAGCCAGCACTGTTAACTGGAAGGAATGGGAGAGGTTTCCATTGAGAAGATGGTATATGAGTGGACCCTTGAAAGAAGATAAAGATTCTAAGAGGCAGAGATTAGACACGGGGTATGTATTTTTGTGAAAAGACTAGAGGTCAGAGGTGGAATGTCAGGTCCGGTGAATAGTCCAATCTGACTGAAAGTTCACAAAGGAGAGTAATGTGAAATATGGCTGAAAAGGTAGGGTGAAAGCAGATTATGGAGTTTGTATTTTATCCTAGCGGCTTTGAGCAGGGAAATTACATGATCAGACCTGGACCTTAGGAAGATTAATTTAACATCTGTATAGAGGGAGGAAGGATTAGAGAGAGGATACTGGAAGCAGAGAACCTAATTAGGAAGCTATCACAGTAGCCCAGAAAAGAGGTAACAAGGGCCTGAATTAGAGTGGCAAATGTGTGAAAGGAGAGAAAAGGGTGGATTTTATGGAGGCAGAATTGACAAAAAAAAAACAAACTAGTAACTGACTGGATATGCAGAAGGAAAAGTCACAAATGACTAAGCTTTTGAATTCAAATCACTAGGGAGATGATGGTACCCACAACAGAGAGAGAGGTTAGTTTGGAGGGAGGATTTTTCTGGGAAGATGAGTTAATGGAAGGATATTACTTCCAGTCCAAGGAATTAATGACTCATTCTCAAGACCTTTTAAGATACTAAAATTCCTATCTCCTAGAACTGAGGCTTGTTTCTTCAACAGTACTCAAGCTCCTGTGGTAAGGCAGGCACACTGAATCTCTTCCTTGGACTCTCTTACGGTAGGCGATGCTCCTAGCAAAGGATATTCGGGACCGAGAGCATGGGGGCCGGGCTGAAATTGGTGTCATTGAGGGAGACAATGAGGCAGCCAGTTCAAACCTGATGAAGGTCCTTCAGGACACACTAGGAGAACGCTCCCTGATCAAGCCTGCAACCTCTGATGAGCTCTTAGATCAAGAGCAGAAATCAAATATCACGTTATATCAGTAAGTGGCCATTTCCTACTCCTGATTGGAGACTAAGGAGTCCTCTCATAAATCCAGATACCTTGGATTATCTCTATATTGGTTTCTGAGATTTATAGCTTTCTTCTGATCCCTCTTCAATTCTAGTATCTATAATAAACATAAGTACCAAAGTTCCTCCACTCAAACATCTCACCACTTATGTTTGTGTTAATGTTCTGGCGTGCTACTTCTTATTCATTCTTTGAGTTGTACAGGTGATAGTAGAGCTGCACCATGAAATAGATACTCAACGTCCCTGAGGCTCTGGAAGGGATAAGATTTGGGGGAGAAAGATGTAGAATCCTCAGAATAAAGGGAACATTAAAAAAAAAGGATTTAAAAGTTAGCCTGCCAGGAAACATGAACTCCCACAGAACTGGGAGCAATAATCCAAATCCTACAAAGAAACTGTCCACCAAAGGAAAGACAGGAAAGCTACATTTAGGCAGTGAGATTCTGCTGAGGAAAGAGAACCCAAATCAACACACGTTTCCCCCTTCTCTAGTGTCTCTGACTCAAGTGGGCAGCTGACAGTCACAGAAGTATCCACAAGGCCCTTGGTCCAAGATTTACTGAATCATGATGTAAGTACAACACAGGTAGACTCAGACTGGAATAAACTGGAATAAGAGTAAGGCTCCCTCACTGTCCCCACCAGTGGTAATGTCATTCATCCATCGGAATGTTTCAGGATTGCTACATCCTGGACCATGGTGGAAGCAAGATCTATGTCTGGAAAGGAAGGGAAGCCACCAAGAATGAGAAACAGACTGCTATGTCCAAAGCCCTGGTGGGTGCAATTCATATACAAAATTGGCTGGATGATTTTGTGCAGTGGAGAGAAAGCTGGATTTGCAGTCAGTACTCGGGTTCCTCAGACACTTAACCTGTAACCTTGGGCAAGTCAACCTATCTGGGCCTGCTTCTTCATCTGTAAAAATGATAGGCTTTGACTAGGTGACCTCTCAGGTCCCTTCTAGCTTTATATCTATGATAATATGATCCTATCAATCAACAAGTATTTATTAAGCTCATACTAGGTACCAGGCACTATGCTAGGTGTTGGGGATACAAAACCTAAATCAAAACATGTCCTGCCCTCAAAAAGTTTACATTTGAACAGGGGGATGATATTGACTTAGTGAGTAAATTATACTACCAACTGTGTGCCACACTATAGGATGAATGTCGGGACAAAGGGAGAGAGATATAAAAAATCAGCAAGGATATAGTGCTAAACCCCAAGGAGTTTATGCTTTATTTGAGGAGAAAGGACACAAGTGGATGCACCTTTTGAGAAACACAAAGTAATAAATGAGCAAATTGATAGAGTACAAAGTCAGTAAATTACAGAAATGCTGAGGCATGGAGTAAAGAAGTTTGCTCACTATAAGCACAAAAAAATGTTGTGACAGTCTAACAGAAAGATGCCAAAATGTTTTCTATGAATACATCCTGGGGGTAGGCAATTCAGTCTCCAGTTAGAAGTGAGTCAGCAAAATTATTTTAAAAGGGTTGGATTTAGGAGGAGAGAGGGAACATACAGGGGGAAATTTAGCCTATGTTAAAATACAAGGTATCAATAAAATTTTATTTTTAAAAAAAGTGAGTCAGCATGAGTTTGACTTCAGGAGGAGAGCTGTCTTAGCACCTGGAACCGAAGGGGTGAGTCACCAAGCAAGCAAACAAACCCAGTAATGACTAATTCGCTTCTCATGGGGCTACAGGGCTTCATTAAGATGAAGGGTTATCCAAGCAGCACCAACGTGGAGACCGTCAATGATGGAGCAGAGTCCGCCATGTTCAAGCAGCTGTTCCAGAAGTGGATTGTAAAGGACCAGACCTTAGGCTTAGGAAAAACCTTCAGCATGAGTAAAATTGGTGAGATTACCTCCCCAAGTCTTTAGCAGTGACAGGAATTTCCAAAGGTCATCGTTGTTCCTGTTGTTCCGTGTTTGTTCCTAACTGTGTGTCTCACTTACTTGACTTCTCCTGAAATCTTTTCTACAGCCAAAGTCATTCAGGATAAGTTTGAGGTGACTCTGCTTCACACAAGGCCAGAGACAGCGGCCCAAGAGAGAATGGTTGATGATGGGAATGGAAATGCTGAGGTAAGACAAGCAACTCGGAACTGAAGGAAGGTAGCAAGCGTACTCACCAGTACACTTCAAATAGAATGTAGGTTCTACTTCTCGTCCCCCTCCATTCCCCCACCCTAACCCCCCATTTTCAATTCTGGGATCTTAGGCATACCCTTCAAGAAACAGCAAAATCTGCAAGGGTGGTTTTCCCCCCATAGTTCCTCTGGGTGATTAGAGGTAGGCTGCCAAATGTGTCGTTAGCATTTTTCCTTGCAAAATGATCCAAATAATCGGCCAGCCTGTAAAGAGCTTAAAGCCATGATCTGATGCACCTGATAGCCCCACCCCTAAGAGAGGAATGGTACTAAGGATGCTGTGTGTCTTTTGAATGATGATTACGCTTGAAACTGCCCCTCTGCCTGGATCTCTTTTCATTGTGGCCTAATTTGCTTCAGGCTGTACTAATTCATACAGCTGGCTCCACATCTAACAACACAATCCCTATGTGACTTATGCATCTCACTCCTTTGTCTAGGTCTGGAGAATTGAAAATCTGGAACTAGTTCCAGTTGAACGTCAGTGGTATGGCTTCTTCTATGGGGGAGACTGCTACCTGGTTCTCTATACGTATGAAGTGAACAACAAGCCACATTACATCCTGTACATCTGGCAGGCAAGTCTAAAAGATAACCTTCAGTCTGGAATCCAAATGTATCATCTGCTGTCTTTTGCTTTGGACAAGCAGCAGGGATCCATCTCTCCTGCAACATATCTGTCCTCTCTTTTCTGTATGGTAGGGTCGGCACGCTTCCAAGGATGAGCTGGCAGCTTCAGCTTACCAAGCCGTGGAGCTGGACAGACAGTTTGGGGGCACTCCAGTGCAGGTGTTGGTCAGCATGGGGAAAGAACCACGCCACTTTATGGCCATCTTCAAAGGAAAGCTTGTGATTTTTGAGGTGAGGTCTCCTTCTCCCCTCTCCTCCCTAAGAAAAATTACCTATGAGTTGGTATGCTGAAAACCAAACTAGAGTTTCTATGAACGAGCTATAAGAATTATTAGTCACTGACACTGAGGAAGGGAGAAACAGGCTTATCAATCCATTTTGCATACCCTTGCCAGATAAATCTAACCTGATGGCACTTTCCTCATGTCACTCCTTTACTAATGAGCCCACGATGGCTTCAAGTTCAAACTCCTCTACCTAGCTTTGGGGGCCCACCATAATCAGGCCCATCCTACCTTTCCAAACTGTTTCACACTGTTCTGCACATGCACCTCTCAATCCTCAGACTGGTCTCCTCATACATCCTCCCTACCCACACTCTTGCCCACCACATACTGGGCTTATTCTTACCTCCTGGAGTGCTTTTCCCTCCATCCTAACAAATTCTAACCATCTTTCTCTACCATGACAATTTTCCCAACTACTCCAATGCATAATTTCTCCTTTATCTAAACACCTTTTGCACTTACAGTCAGCATCTCTCAGTTTAACACATTATTCCTCATATCACGTTAGTCCTGTCTTTCCAACTAGTTTCTTGGCTCCTTGAAATCAATGAATCCCCTTTACCTCTCTCTGAACTTGCCATTGCTGATTTCAGTCATTCTCATGGTTTAATGATCACTTCTTTGAAAATGACTAATAAGTCTTTATCCCCAGCCCCAACCTTTCACCTGAGCCCTAATGCTATATTTCCAGTTGCGTACTAGGTATCTCCACCTTTTTGCCCCATTGGTACCTTAGACTCACAACATTCGGATCTGAATTCATTGTCTTCCACCCGCCCTTCCAACTTTCTCACAGCTTCTGCTGATAGATTTAGTAAAAGTTCCATTCTTGACAGGAAGAATCAGCAAGCTGACAACCAACATTTTTTTTTTTATCAGCACCTCACACCTACTATCTAGTCAGTCAACAAGTTTCTATTAAGCACTTACTATACACCAGGCACTTTGCTAATTGCTGGGAATATAAATACTAGCAAATACTAGCAGTCCCTACCCTCAAGGAGTTTCCGTTCCACTGGGAGAAGACAGTACACAAAAGGCAACTGAAAAGGTGGTGAGGTAGGGATGTTCTCCACTTGGAGTAAGGTAAAGAAGATGAGTTATCTGTGCACCTGGAGAGGAATGAAGACATCTTTGGCTGGGCTGCTTCCTTAAGTCGGGCAGTGGATAGAGCACAGAGCCTGGAGTCAGGAAGAATCATCTTCCTGAGTTCAAGTCTGGCCTCAGATAATTACTGGCTGTGTGGCACTGGGCAAGTCACTTAACTGTTAGCCTCAGTTTCCTCATCTGTAAAATGAGCTGGAGAAGGAAATAGCAAACCACTCTAGTGTCTTTGCCAAGAAAATTCAAAATGGAGTCACAAAGAGTCTGAAATGACTTCTTAATTTGGAGGTTCTGGGAGAAACAAGTGAGGCCTCAGAGTTAGAAAGTACTTCTAGGTAGATCAGATTAGATAATTGTAAAGCACTTAGCATAATGCCTGGTACATAGTAAGCTACTGTAAATGTTAGCTATGATAATTATTATTAATGTGAGAAATACTAGAGATGAGACAAAGGACTATGAAGTACAGGAAGGGGGACTGAATTTCTCCCCTAGATACTCAAGAGAAGAAAAACAAAATTTGGGGCGCAAACTGAGGGACCTATCCTTCTAAATTTTTGCATTCTAAGTCCTAGGGTCCCATGGTCTGCCTGCTAAAGGTATCTTTTAACTAAAGCAACACTATGGCAACTTGTACTTTTATTGTATTGCCTTTTGCAGAGAAACCTGGAGGGAGGAATGACTGAAGGTGGAAAACCAAAGTCGGCCTCCAAAGTTTCAGTTCTGTCTTCCAGGGTCCCAATCCAAGCCTTCCTTGGGGCTTCCTTCCCCACCCGCCAAAGAACAAGGAATCCCCTGTCATTGAGGCCATGTGCAAAGCCCATCTCAATAAGCCTTCAACTAAAGCAGGGGGAGTGGGGGAGGGGAGAAGGAAAAGGCATAAAAGAGATGGAGGAAGAGGGGAGAGGGAATAAAAAAAGAGACATAAGATATCTAATGATGGAAAAAGGACGGATAGAGTCCATTGACCCTCTTGGCAAAAGACCACCACTTTATCTGATGAGAAGAAACCTCATTCATGGTACCAATTGCTGGAGTCTGTTTTGATAGGACAGTTGGATAGAACGGGCAATGCTGAAAACAATAGTCCCTTTTATTTGATGCATTTAATGGAAGGCCACGTGGTTTAACTGGCTATAACCAAGGAAGCATAGAAGAGCAAGCAGTGGCAACAAGGGAAGCACACTGAGAACTATGTGCTCTCCCTCCCCCAAATTGGGACAGCAACCAGCTTATCTATACAATGGCAGTCTGCCAATCCCCGGCAGAACGTCATCAGCATTCACCCATTCCAACTAGGACTGGTTGGGCAGGGAAGGGATTCATCAAAGAGTATTACGACGGAGCTGTCAGGTCAGTCTTCAGGCTATGATAGGAAGGCGTCCATGAGGACCTGGCAAGAAGTTGGCTCCCAGGACTTGGCACATCATTGTCCCAAAGTCACACTGGGACTTCTGGGTCCATTTCCCCTCCATGTACCTTGGTGCCACTTAGAGAAGCTAAAGAGGCATCTTTACAGGCAAAGCATTCAGATTTAATTGGCTTCTTACCTCTGATGTCTTAGGTATGTGTATTTGTGAGGAGGATGAGAATCTGGAGGATTCTAGGCATAGAAAATTACAGATACGGGAATTCCAGAAGGGCAAGGAGGAGAGATATGGCCAGGGCAGAAACAGCCTGTAGATGGAAAAAGATTCATCTTCTTCCACTTCGCCCTACCAAAAAACAATAACAAAAACAAAAAAACAAAACAAAACATGTTTTTTTCCAACCTTCATAATATGTAGGTATCATATAGCTTTGGTGTAATCACATCGATTTCAGTTGTTACCATTATCTAAGGGACAAAATACAAGCCAGTTCTTAATCTAGCCCCAGCCTACCTTTTCCAATCTTATTCAACATTCCTCCCCCTCCTCCCCATGCACAGAACTCTGTTCTCATCAGGTAGACCCCTAGCTCTTCCTTTATCTCGTCCCTCTGGCCTCTGTGTACTTTTTCAGGACGTTTCTCAGGCCTAGAATATCGTGTCTGTCTCTTTAAATTCTTGTCCTTCAAGATCCAACTCAGATCACATTTTCTTAATAAACAGTTCTTAAAGAACATTTATTAGGCACCTACTATGAGCAAAGCACTGAGGTTACAAAGGCTAAAACGAAGTTGTCACTGTCCTAAGAGTTTCATTCTCCATGCAACCTTTACCAATGCTTCAGCTGGAAGCGATCCCTCTCTCTCCAAAGTCTTGTCCTCTCCTAAGTGCTTGTAACACTCCAACTTGTATTATAGTTACTTGTGTATGACTCATCCACTTAGCGAGCTGTAAGCTCCTCTGAGTGAGGCTCTATGCTAGTTTTCATCTTTGAATTCCCAGCACCCAGCAGGCAATATTTAAATATAAATATTTTTATTGCTGCTATGATCAATTATAAATTAGATACTTCATATAATAACCCCCAGTATCCTCACCATTGAAGCCTCCACAATGTTATCATCTCCTCAGAAGATAAGTAAAACAGCATAAAATTGATCATAGTTAAAAGTATGTGCAAACTTACTCTGAAGTAGGTTTCCTTGTTAAGAGATGAAGGTGCTATGTTAGTATCATTATTGTGAAATTTTTAATGAGTTTTGTTGCCACTTAAAGTTGTCTTCATTTATATAGCTGTAATAATTGTGTATGGGTTGGTTGGTTGTTGTTTGTGTGTGTGTGTGTGTGTGACTCTTTTGACCATTTTGCTATCACTCCATACTGGTCTTCCCATATTTGATTTCTTATCAATCATTCCTTATGGCACAGTAAAATTCTGTAAATTCATATGCTTTATTTTTTAGCCACTTCCCAAGTGTTAGGCCCCACACTTCTGTTTACAATATTTTGCTGTTACTAATAATGTTGCTGTTTTCATACACAAAGGTTTTTTTTCTTATTGTCAGTAACTTCCTATGAGTACAAACAATAGTGGGATCACTTTTCCTGCATCTCCAACATTAAATTATTCCACTTTTGCCAATTTGATGAGTTTGTTTTAGAATACTGTTTTTGAGCACTTTTAAAAATGGGTGGCAATAGTTTCTTCTTTAAAAAATTCTGTCACGGGGGCAGCTATGTGGCGCAGTGGATAGAACACCGGCCTTGAAGTCAGGAGGACCTGAGTTCAAATGTGACCTCAGACCAAACACTTGACACTTACTAGCTGTGTGACCCTGGGCAAGTCACTTAACCCCAATTGCCTAAAAAAAAAAAATTCTGCCCGTAACAGGGTCAAAAGAGAGAATAGAATTAACCAGGGGGATGGGGGGAGGAGAGAGGGGGGACAGGATGAAGGGAAATATAGTTGTTTTTCACAACATGATTACTATGGAAGTGTTTTGCATGACTACACATGTATAACCAGTATCAAGTTGCTTGCCTTCTCAATGAGGGTGGGTGGAGAGGAAAGAAGGGAGAGAATTTGGAACCCAAAGTTTTAAAAGCAAATATTAAAAATTGTTTTTACATGCAACTAGGAAATAAAATGTACAGGCAATGGGATACAGAAATCTATCCTGCCCTACAGGAAAATAGAAGGGGAAGGGGATTAGAGAAGGGGGGGGTGATAGAAGGCAGGGCAGATTAGGGGCAGGGGTATTTAGAATGCAAGGTGTGTTGGAGTGGAGGGAGGGGTGAGACAGGGAGAAAATCTGGAACTCAAAATCTTGTGGAAGTGAATGCTGAAAACTAAAAATAAGAATAACAACAAAAAAAATTCTGTTCATATCTCTTGACCATTTATCTACTGGAGGAATGGCTCAATTCTTACAGATTAACAATAGGTTTTGGATATGACTTTTCTAAAGATG